TCTCTTCTGTCTTCAATTTTAATTTTTCTCTAAGTCTTTTTGGGTGTTTTCTTCTCTAATATTAAAATTTATCTCACCATTTCGACACACTCTCTCTCCTGCTTTTCTTCTGTTCAGGGGCTGTCACAACCTTGTGCAGCTTCAATGGCTGCTTCTCTTTCACTGGAAAAAAGGGCTTCTCCTGGATCAATCAGGGACTTTGTGATGTCCCTGAGATCAGCAAGATGTGCCCTTCTCTATCACAGTCTCTATGGGATGGTTTAGGTCCAAAAGGACCGTCCAGCAGCAGAGATATCGACAGCAATCCTGAAGTTCCAAGATTGCATGTTATGCCATCGCAACGTCAAGTCCCGCCTTTTCCAGGTTCAAATGTTGAACTATTTATTATTAATACTGTACAGATAGTCCTCAATTTACAGTTGAACAGTTCAACTGTAGCTATAGTGGCATGTTTGAAGCTACAATGGCACTGAAAAAAGTGACATAACCATTTTTCACAGTTATGACCATTGCAGCATCCCCATGGTCACATGATGAAAATTCAGACATGGCAGTTGATTCATATTTATGACAGTTGCAATGTCCCAGGGTCACGTGGTCATCTTTTGTGACTGTTAAAGCCAGATTCAGTTAACAACCATGTTGATAACAATTGTAGTGATTCACTGAAGAGCTACAGGTCGTAAAATGGGGCAAAATTCACTTAACTGTCATACTTGGCAATAGAAATCTTGGTTCAATTGTGGTTGTAAGTCAAGAACTGTATTGATAGACCAGCCTAGTATCTTCCAGTTGTGATGGATTACAAAGCATACAATTCCCAGCAGACATGTGAAGATAAGCATGTATGTGTGCATGCATGTTTATTTTGATACACATAAAGAGAGACATTTTGACAATCCCACTTTTTTTGCTTTGTCTGGAAAGAATAGTTAGCAGGGGTGGGCTTCAAAAATTTTAGCAACGGGTTCTCCGTCAGGTTGTGGGGTGGGCATGGCCATAGTGGGCGTGGCCTAGTAGGCCTCCTGCACCATGGTGGGTGGGGTGTTTTTGCCCTCCCTGGGCTCTGGAGTCTCTGGAGGCTCCCGGAACTTCCGGGAGGTCCATTTTTAAACACTCCCTGGGCTCCAGAGGCTTTTTTTGAGCCTCCGGGAGGATGAACGGTTTCTGTCTCTGTGTTTGTGCAAAAGCTGAGCTTTATTGCTGTGTGTGTGTGTGTGTGTGTGTGTGTGTGTGTGTGTGTGTGTGAGCCCTCAAGTCACTGGGTGGTCACAGGAGGGCTCTGGGCCGTGTACCATGGGGCGCTGAGAGCTGCAACCCCCCCCCCCTTTACATTGGAGAGGGGCACCAGCATGGAAGAGGCTCCTGGAGGAGTGGTTGGTCGGAGCGCGCTCGGGCATCAGAACGGGTGGTCGGTGGTCACCATTTTGGAGAGAACGCCCATTTTGGAGATGCACATGGCTGGAGCGTGAGGATCAGCGCTCCTTTTACAGCTCTCCTCAGGCTACCCTACATTTATAATGTGACCTGGTCCTCCTCTGTGTCCTGGTGTCGGTCCGCACAAATGGATCCGGTGTCGGCGTTGGCACCATAGGTGCCGGAGTTCCTCCAGGATGGCCCAGAGAAGGATAT